GTAAAATTGCACTTTTTGTATGACAACATGGCATTGGCGGCCGACTGCTCTGATTCATACGTAAAAGCTTCTGTGTGTAAAAGTTTCTGTGAGTAAAGCTTCTGTGTGTAAAAGGCTCTGTGTGTAAAAGTGTCTGTGTGTAAAATGATCTGCGTAAAAATTTCTGTGTGTAAAGCTTCTGTGTATAAAGGGTTCTGTGTGTAAAAGTGTCTGTGTGTAAAATGATCTGTGTGTAAAAGCTTCTGTGTGTAAAAGTGTCTGCGTATAAAAGCGCCTGTGTGTAAAAGCTTCTGTGTGTAAAAGCTTCTGTGTGTAATAGCCTCTGTGTAAAAGCGTCTGTGTCTAAAAGCGTCTGTGTAAAAGCATCTGTGTGTAAAAGCTTCTGTATGTAAAAGCGTCTGTGTGTAAAAAAAAGCGTCTGTGTGTAAAAGCGTCTGTGTGTAAAAGGTTCTGTGTGGAAAAGCTTCTGTGTGTAAAAGTGTCTGTAAAAGTGTCTGTCTGTAAAAGTGTCTGTGTGTAAAAGGTTCTGTGTGTAAAAGCTTCTGTGTGTAAAAGCTTCTGTGTGTAAAAGCGTCTGTGTGTAAACGCGTCTGTGTGTAAAAGCGTCTGTGTGTAAAAGTGTCTGTCTGTAAAAGCTTCTGTGTGTAAAAGCTTCTGTGTGTAAATGTGTCTGTGTGTAAAAGCATCTGTGTGTAAAAGCGTCTGTGTGTAAAAATTATGCGTGTAAAAGGTTCTGTGTGTAAAAGCGCCTGTGTGTAAAAGGTCCTGTGTGGAAAAGCTTCTGTGTGTAAAAGTGTCTGTCTGTAAAAGTGTCTGTGTGCAAAAGGTTCTGTGTGAAAAAGGTTCGATGTGCAAAAGCGTCTGTGTGTGAAAGCTTCTTTGTGTAAAAGCGTCTGTGCACAATCCTAATCTCAAGTCGAGGTCGGAAATGGGGTGGCAAGCGGCTGTAAAAGCGTCTGTGTGGAAAAGTGTCTGTGTGTAAAAGCTTCTGTGTGTAAAAGCTTCTGTGTGTAAAAGCGTCTGTGTGTAAAAGCGTCTGTGTAAAAATTCTGTGTGTAAAAGGTTCTGTGTGTAAAAGCTATACGAAGGATACGATGCAAACTATTGTCTTGTAATATTTGGTCTTGATACTAACAACAAAAGAACTTGCTCCTCTACGCTCTCGGGCCATCCGTCGTCTAGTTTTGGAAAAAAAAACCTTTTGGTTCACAAAAGCCAGAGCCTTCCTGCTATCTTGCAACCCATCTTCGTGACAAACTTTCTTCGTCGTCCCTGAGAGCGCATGCCGTCGTTCACAAAGGAAGCATCACTCACCACGCAAATTTCATCTCCTTCCGTGGTTGAATTCTAATGCACATCTCAGCCGCCTTCTTCACTCCTCGGACAACCTGGCACTTGCAACCCTTGGTGACAGAAGACTTGCTGGACCTGAAAGATCGGGTCCCCCTGCCTTTGCCAGCCAGTTCAGTGAGCCGCATACGCCTCGAAGCTTTCCTCTCTTCTCCTCATAACTGGCTCCTTTCTCTGACTTGGACGGCCTTTGTCCAACGTCACCTCCAGTCTCTATTCGATGAACTTCTCCATATCTATGCGGACTTCTCCAACCGCGCTCTGTCTCAGTTTTCTTCCATTGAACATAGCTCCTTCTGGCGTCTTTCTAAGATTCATCGCCTTTCCGAACTGTAACTTTTGTTTTATCTTCTGCAGTCGGCCTTGATGATGGAACTGGTTGCCGACCATGGAAAGGGCATCGGCTTCTATGGCGATCATGCCCGCCAGTTTGTGCCGGCCGTAAGCTTGTGAAGGCACGAATCCAGCTTGCTTTGCTGGTATCCAATACTTGACAGAAAATCTGTCAAGGACTTGCTCCAATGTAGAGGGGCATCCACAAGACCATAACATCCCACAATGATCAATGCAATCTGCCCTGGATCGACACCCTCAATTCCTTCTGGAGGTTGCTTGGAATAGACCGGGCCCTGTTTCCGCTCCAATGGCCGACTCTGGCAACAAATTGCATCATCACTGCCAAGTTCATGGTGTTGACAGCGGGCGCGAACTTTTCTATTTCCATGATGCCTGGATCCAGGTCTCCTAGTAGGCAAAGCCGACTCTTCTTAGTCGGAGCGACCCCAGGCAGGATCCTCTTGCTCTTCCCTTTTTTGGCTAACTGCTTTTTGATCTTCCTGGGCTCTTTCACACTGACCAGCTTGACAGTCCCACTCTCTATGATCTTCTTCCATGCATTCTGCTGTGTCATACTGACGCCACTCCTCCAAGTCTTTCTGGCTCTCTTTCCTCATCAATTCTCTTCTTCTCTGCCAACAGCACGCAAAATGCCTCTGCCTCTGCTTGGCTGATCTTCTTTTTCGGTCTGAAGTCTAAAGGTGTACTACCCTTCCACCAGCCGGTGTCTGAGGTCCTGCCTTCTCTTTCCAACAATCCGCAGTCTTCCTGTCAGCCACGTTCTGATTTTCAAAGCATATCCAAGTCTACTGGGCAACCTTCTTTGAGCTGATACGTAGCTTTTGGTGCCTGTGCTTTCTTCCAAAACATTGGTTTTCTCCACCTGGGTCTAGCCTGATCCGCCAACAAACTCCACCTCTTCTGGAAACTGTTCGTCTATCTGCCTTCTGATTTCTGAACCCGCGTTTTGTCCGACTCCCTCAGGCCCTCCTGGAGTCTGGGCGCTGCTGTGTCCTGAATCTTGTCTACTCATCTCCATATCTTTTGAATCTTCTTCTCTGCTCTCATCTCGTTCTCCTTCTGGTTCTTTCACATTCTGGTTGGATTGTCTCTCCCCTCTGATGCCAACCTCTTCGCGATGCTCGGGTCGTACCCTTCTGGCCCATCGCTTCTTCCTTTGGAAACCCACTCTCCTCTGTTCTATTGCCACCTGTTCATCCGCGATCTGTGAACCTGACGGAAATTGCTCGTCCGTCAACTCCTACTTATAGCCAGCCTCCTTCCAAAAGGCCAAATTTCTCCAGCTCAGTGACCAATCTGCACTGCTTTTGCGCCACCTTCCACAATTCTCCCCAAACAATCACCCAAAGATCCGCACCATCAATTGACATGACCATTCCTTTCCGACCCATGTCGCCTTTTCTTCAAAATGATCCAACTCTTGAGCGCCACTTCTTATACTTCTTTTCCTTGGCCGATGCATCCAATAGACAGACACATAGTCCCCAGGGCTAAACTCCTGGGTAGTCTCCTATCTAGCCTTCTCTTTCTTCTCCACTGTCGGCATTGTGACTTCTGCGCTATCCTCCTCATTTCATGCAGCCTTTCAAGGCGGTCAACAATTGCCCCGGCGACCAGACTTGGGTCTACCGCTTATCTGGCAACAGCTCCGTGGGCAGTCCGGAGAGAATCCGGACCTATTGGACTATTGGACTACCGGTCTTAGCCTTCTCAACCTCCTGCATAAGAATTCTGAGCTCCTTCTCATTGGTGAGGACAACCTCTCCTCTAGCCTTTTCCAGCTTAAAGTGGGCACCGTGACGGGCTGTTGCTTTTTTACCGTTTTCACTTCCAAACGTGCTTCGCGCCACACCAGCATGCACTATTCGACATCTCAGCTTCCACAGCGCTCCGGAGCTGAGGTGTTTTAGCATTTTGGCTTCGAAATGCGCTTCGCATCACATCTGCGTGCACTTTTTCAACATCCCCACTTCCGCTCTGAGAATGCTGCCCCGCGTACGCTTGGCGCTTTGCGCCACAACCACGTACACCTTTGCAACATCTCAACTTCCAAAAGTGCTCTGAACATCAGATGCTTTTGGCATTTTGACTTCCAAATGTGCCGCGCGCCACAGCGGTGTCGTGCAATTTTTTGAGCTGTAAGGAGCCTACTTATCGACCCTCCTGGGCCACAATTTTCGCGGACCTGCATCTTCTTTCTTCTGACTCTTTCTCTTCTCTATATAATTTTGGTCTTCCCCTTCACAACTCGGTCCAACTTCCTGAGCGCAGTCGTCTTTCTGTCATATATTCCTTCAGCCCATATCAGGAACCTCTGGTCCTGATTTTTGTTCAGGCCAGACTGCCTGTAGACGACGATGTAGCCCTGTACCCCACCCATCAGGCAAATCTATACCTTCCTTCTTCAGCTTCCCGAAAACCTTGTCACATCTCGCGATGTACTCCCCGAAGCCTTCTCTCGCTTGCGTGACAGGGCCATAAACTGCCTGTTCAAATGCCTGGGCAAAGACCCCTCTAGATGTGGAGTGTCTAGCCATGATGTTGTACATTCCTCAGCGGGTAAGTCCTCAAAGGGCATCTCATCCACAGCTAACCGAGTAGATCCAGTCCCCTCAGCAACTTCACAGCCTGCTTGACTGTTGGAGTGTCCGTCTCGAACTCCCAAAGTCGAACATTCTTCTCAAAATTGGCGAATGTTGTCTGTTGTCTCTGGGCTCTCACCGTGCCCCCTCCGATGCGCCTCCAGACGCCACTGCAACGGATGTTGCTCCGGCCACCTGCACTGACCCGGTCGACCTACGCGAAGGCATCACCCAGCTGGTCTCCTCCGCTTCCTCACACGCCCCTGGCCACTGCCGGGGCTTCGCTTACCACTGAGCGGCAGGCTTGCTTTTGTCAGCGGATCCAACCATGCATGGGTTGCCTACACATATGTCACACTAAGGGCCCCTACACGAGCCATGAGTTTGCGCAGCCACAGGATCAATGTCTGCACCACGTTTGGAATCAATGCTCACATGATCATGCACACTCTTTCCCCAGATATGATCAGTTTTTGAACTTTGCTGTTGACAGCTGCTGGTGTGGCGTGCAACCTGAGTTCTAGATGTCTTGTCCGCCTCCTCTAAGAGCTTGGGGGGCTGGCCAACCATTGGGAACTCTGAAGAAAGACTGAACATGGAGCAATCGAAAACAAAGACAAGATGCAGTGAGGTCCCCAGGTGGCATGACACAGTGCCAGAGAATACAAGCATGCAGCATGCTGCTGGTCATTTGATTTCGAGAAGGGAGTCCTGAACAGCCATTGCAGATCACAATCAACCAGCTGGCGCTTCAGTGTCGACAGTGGGTGACTTCAGGACATTTTGTCATCCTTCCTTAAGCGATAGCTTGGTTTAAAAGTGGAGTCCCGACTGTGTTTTCTGTTCTGTGTTCTTGTTGGGTTCTGGACGGTTTGGATTTGGCTGCTACGAAAGCTGCATCTCTTTCCGCGCCCATGACCATGACTGCGACTGTCCAAGAAGCTGAGCAGCAGAAGTCGCAGCCAAAGCGGATTCTGTTGCTCCCAATGTAATGAGACTGCAAAGAAACCCATTCCATGGATGAGGGCTTCAGGTGCTGCAATCAAAATAAGCGAAAGATCCTAGTCCCTGCTTGAAAATTAGTCGTTGATAAGCTAGACGCACTCCAAAACTTGCTCGAGTGCGCAGTGCACCTAAACTACGAGTTCCCTCACGGGAGTTACGATTTCCACTTCCCGCAGGTTTCTGCTGCTGAACCATTTTCACTTCCGCATAACGGCCACGGCCCAGCGGTCAAATGATCTCAATGAACAAGCTTTCAAAAGCATGACCACCAATAAGAGATTCAAACCAGCAATCCGAAAAGAACTCCAAGTCACTTTGACTGTTTATTTGCACGAGTCCAGAGTCTCACTTTCCCACCCAAAAGCAATCGTCTCAACTGGGCCACTTCCTTTCGACAGCCCCTCAGAGAATCACCGCCAGTTAGAAACTATCCGGACCTGCAACAGGAGTGTCAAATGGTGTGACTGCATTTCCAGGCCATTTTCTGTCGAAGATCGATTTTGGAGTCTGAGATTGTGAGAAAAAATGCATTGACAGAGCTATTCAGTTATTCATGAACATCCTGCTGTAATTCACGCCGGCATCTGCTCATGCTGAAGTTTCTTCTGTGCAGCCTGCCTTTCCCGTCAATGCCTCCAGAGCAAGTTTTGTGCAGACCTGCCGGGTTAACCAGCATGGAAAGCAGAAGCCGAAGGACTGGTTCCATCATTGATTTGATCGGCCTTCCAATGCATCCCCAACAAGTCCTGCTTTTGATCTTCATAATGGGGTTATATCATTCCCCACCTGCCAGGTGAGGGTTGTTAGATTTTATCTAAGTTGCCTTCTCCTCCTCCTCCTCCTCTCCTCCTCCTCTCCTCCTCCTCTCGTCGTCCTCCTCCTCTCGTTGTCCTCCTCCTCTCGTTGTCCTCCTCGTCTCGTTGTCCTGCTCGTCCTCCTGCTCAACTGCGACTCGCGATCCACAGTGTTCGCTGCCGGACCTCAACCACGACCATCCACGCCCAGTGTTCCCTGCCGGACCTCAACCACGGCCATCCACGCCCAGTGGTCCCTGCCGGACCTCAACCACGGCCATCCACGCCCAGTGTTCCCTGCCGGACCTCAACCGCGAGTATCCCCTCCCAGTGTTCCCTGCCGGACCTCAACCACGACCATCCACGCCCAGTGTTCCCTGCCGGACCTCAACCGCGAGTATCCACGCCAAGTGTTCCCTGCCGGACCTCAACCACGACCATCCACGCCCAGTGTTCCCTGCCGGACCTCAACCACGAGTATCCACGCCAAAAGATATGCCACATAGAGTGCCAGAAGATATGCCAGATAGAATGTTAGAAGATATGCCAGATAGAATGCCAGAAGGTATGCCAGATAGAATGCCAGATAGAATGTCAGCTAGAATGCCAGATAAAGTGCCAGATAAAGTGCCAGAATGTTTGCCAGATAGAATGCCAGCAGATTTGCCAGATAATATGCCAGAAGATATGCTAGATAGAATGCCAGATGGAATGCCAGAAGATTTGCCAGATAATATGCCAGAAGATATGCCAGAACATATGCCAGAAGATATGCCAGAACATATGCCAGAAGATATGCCAGAAGATATGCCAGAACATCTGCCAGAAGATATGCCAGAACATCTGCCAGAAGATATGCCAGGTAGAATGCCAGAAGATATGCCAGATAGAATGCCAGATCGAATGCCAGAAAATATGTCAGGTAGAATGCCAGAAGATTTGCCAGTAACAAAATGTATAAATGTCATGGTGGGGATCACACGAAGTAAAGTAATTTTTTGTCAAAATGGCTCCTTCAAGAAATGCTGACAAGACTGTAAACCCCTGTGTGCCCAATTTGAAGTTTAATGAGGGTTCCGCACCTCAATGGAACAGCAGCTTTCTAATCGTTGGCTTTGCCTGGAAGCTTAACCAGTACAGCTGCACGCATGATACCTTTGAGGCAAGATTCACAAATTGCCGCATATGTATATGGATATGAGCCACAATATGTGTGTACAACATAAAAAGCTACCTTCCCTCCTATGGAATCCTTCCCTTTAGCACAAAGTCTTGTGCTGGAGATACCGTGCCTGCTCCATGACCAGCTGCAAACGTGAGTCAATGGTATTGTCAATGGTGATGGTGCCCTTCTGGCAAGCCAAAACCTGTGCTGAAGCGCTTGTTGGACGCAACAGAAGTTGTCCAACGATAATTTGTGGAGCCAGAGACAACTGCATTCACTCCCGAACTCTCTCACTTACTCAAATCATTCAACTCCGCCACATCAGTCGATCACTTGGCACTACCAAAATGTTGCTTTTTGGGGTTGCGGTGTTCTGGAGATATGGGCAGTGCGAAAGAGCAAGGGAGTCTTTTAATACCACCTTTGTAACAGGGTTTGGAAAAGTGTTGGAATCTTCAACCGTGGCAGGACTGCACTTAAAAAGGGGATTTGATCCCTACATGTGCATTGTCATCATGACTGTTTTTGCAAGGTTGCAAATTGCAAACCGCATGCTTGAAGGCAGTGTCACAACCATCCGTCAGGCAGAAGTTTGACCAGTTGTTCGTCCCAAAATCGCTTAATCGATCAACCATTGCATTACTCAAGCTTAGTCAAGAAGTCGCACACAAACACAATCATTCAATCCATCTCGGAAGTGTTTTCTCACTCAATATTTGTTCAACTCACTCGATCATGAACCACTGATCTCTGCTTCAACACTGCCTCACTCCCGCACTGATGTTAACATTGTTAGCTCAATCAATCAATAAATTAAACAGTCAAGTCACATGGCATCACATCACATCAAGTCACATTAATTACAATCTTTAACATCAGCTGGCTTATTCATTAGGCTCTCCTATCCCTTCGAGTCCAGACTCTGTTGTAAATGTGTTAGCACGTTTGGAGCTTGTGCAGAAGTTGTACCATCGTGCAGGTATTAGAAGATTTGCAAAACACAAAGCTACATCCAAGCGCTCAAGCAGCTAAGCACAGCTTCTGCAAGGGCAAACTCTTGTTGCTCCTGGCTCACAAGTTCTAGGTACCCTGGCTACACCACCCAAGCACGAAGGCGTCGAAGCATCGCCATTCGGCGCTGGGGGCAACTGAACTTTCTGGCCGGGCAGTGGCGGGTCACGGGATGACTTCAGATCTCCGAAATGACATGGATTTCGTCTGCTAGACTGCTGGACACCTACACACTCGTGCAAAGTCCCATTCATTGTCTGGTTTTGAGGAATGGCACGCAGCTCTGGAGAAAGAATTCTTTATAAAACCACAACATCGCCAAAATCTCACTTCTTTCCAAGTAAGACAGACCCCAACTGTCCAAGGTCCGATGAGCCTGATCCACTGTCACCTTGCAGTTCTTAGATGCACCAGTGGAGTCCTTGATGACCTCTCGAGTAGGTAACAGCAGAGTATTCAATTTCTGCTTTCCAGTTTTTCTGCTTGCTCTCCCTTGCAATTTGATCGTCTGTGGCATGCGGTGACTTGGCATGAAACATGTCACGCCTTACTGTATTGGTTCACAGCATCACCAATGCATTCTGCCACCAGTGCCTCACCACGAGAAGATCTGAGGACAACATGCAAAATAATCCCTCCTGCGTCTCCAACTTGATCAAACCAAACATCATCGGTATCGTCCCTGAATTTCCATTTCCGCCTCATCGCATTTGCGACATCGAACCTCTACGGTGTCCTGACCAAGGATGCAAGATGATGCAAACCAAATCTGGTTGTTTTGCCTGCTCACAGATCCCTCAAGTTTGCAGACTGGGAAATTCCTGGTAGCAAAATCATCGTGACAGGCACCTCCAAAAGCATCAGCAAACCCTGCACAATGAGCTGGGTGATGAACTGCTTTTGTTTGGCCTGAAGCAGTAAAAACAGTCCGAGCCAGTGAGCAGAGCACTGTTGTCTAAAAACAAACATTCACAGCCAACGTATGCAATGAGATTTTGTGGTAAGTCCGCATACATATTCCACATGTTCACATGTATGCAAAACGTTGCAGCATTGGTCTGAACATGTTTCGTTGATGTTCCCTGCGCCTTGTCCGCAAGCCGCTTGGCCAACTCCTTCTGTGAGTCTTCCTGCAAGTGTGCCAACATCTCCTGCGGGCCAAGACTGGGCAAAAATTCTTTGTGACCCAGATGGTTCCGGTTTTGGATCAGGACGCATCAATGAAGAACATATTCGTTGACAATAATTTCTAAATTCTATGCAATCAATTTAGGAAACAAACATGTATTTCAAATTTCTCTCGAGTTTGCCAAAAGATCATTTCCATCTTGCGCCGTTTTCATGAAATGCGTAGATCCGCTGAAACGAGTATCCTTAAAAATCACGAATGATTCCCGACAAATTGTCCTGTCGGCTTTTGATTTTTTCAAGTCTCGACCTTTCCGGGATTTCAACGTTTTGCATGTGCGGACTCAAAGCAAACATGAGTTTGACAATTTGGCAGGCCTGTTGATGGCGGTAGATCTCTCGATAGCTGCCTGACCCACCCATTTGGTTTCGGCTCACAAATAAAGTTATATTGAAACGTAGTTTTGATTGATCGCCGTCCAAATTTACATGAACTCAATATGACAGATATCATTGCTTAGGATTGTGGTGATGTTTTGTCCAGTTTACGTTTTTCAAATTCAAGTACCTTTTGCCTTTGCCACCGTCTAAAACCAATTTCTGGCCTGGGTCTCAATTTGCTTTGTTTTTCTTGCATAATCCTGGCAGTTGCAATGGCAATTTTGGTTTCAAGCACGTCAATTCCATACACCGTTTTGCATTTTTGTAAAATCCGCTTGAACATGTTGAGACTGAAACAAACACACCAACCAAACGCCGAAGGCCTGCTGAATCTTTTCCTTCATGGAGTTCACAATCTTTAAGCGTTCAATGCTCTCTTCCTCGTGTCCAGGGTATGATTGCGGATTTGGGGTTTGTTTCCACGGGTTTTGCACTACACCAAGTCCCTCCCCGGAGGACCCTGCCAAACATGCAAGGCAGCTGCAGGTGCTTTTAGCTCCAAGTTGGGCTCGGTGCTGGGCCAGTCTCCTGAATGGCCCTTGGGCCTTGAACCAACACAGTTGGAGGACGTTTCAGCAGCTGTGGAAAACATTAAGACATGTCTTATTGGGGGCGCAGTGGTACTCCAACCGCACTCCTCCTTCCAAAAAGGCAAACACCCTCGTGTGCCAAGAACCCAGTCGGTGCTGATTCCCCCTTCATCCTTTCAGCGTGGAGCACCTCTTCCAAAAATTTTAAACACAAATTACTAACTTCGTAGGAAACTCTTAAATGATCATTCTATGCGCTGTCCCGGACTTCCCAAGCTCTATTGAATTCTCACTCAGAGCTGTCACCAGAAAGCACACAAGTTGAGCTGCCGCTGAAGACCGGCCAGCAGCTGCTGATATTCTTTGGCACGACTCGCCAGTGATGGCCTTTGGCTCCAGCATTCTTCTCCCGGTGATAGTGCTGAGTTTTTCCTTTTTTCCCTTTTTTTGCTTGACCTTCTTCCGCAAAAGGTTTACTTCTCTCCGTCATGTTTGATCGGAAAAACGGTGTATCCCACCCATTTTGGTTCCACCCAATTCCTTCCCCAGCCATAATCTAGTGCAACCTTTCTCTCCAAAACCTCAGAAGCATCCAGACTGTTCCAAATAAAAGTAAATCCTTTCCAGTTCTTTGGGTAGAGTTGGGTTACCTGGGTGGTGGAACGCATTCTCACGCCAACGGTAGTGGATCCTGGCCGAAACTCTCTGATAATCTTCAGGTCCGCGATGTGGTCCAGATCATCCCATCCTTCAACAGCCGGCGGCTTCGTCAACCAGGCCGTTTGTCACTGGTGATCACCTACTCAAGGATGCGGACGTGCATGTCGGGCAGAAAACTCATCCATTCTTGGATCTTCTGGATGACGGATTAAATCCAGACCTGGTCCAATTCATGGCCTTACTGGTTCAGGAGGATGTTCCGGTTCCGGAGGAGCCAGTGTTCTTCTTGGGGTCAGTGATCCCTCTTGAAGTTCTTTCGGATGACCTCTGTGCCATTGGTGTGCATCTTCTGGGTGCCCGTTTTTTGGCCCCAAGAATTTCCGTCCCACCACAACCACTCGCCCCCGTCCACCTCGCAATAGTCGGCTGCGTTCGGGACAGCGGCCAATCCCTTTATTGGCGCCGCCGAGGAATAGGCACCTACCTTAAGTTTCACGCCCTTTTCTTTTGTTTTCGGCCCCCTGAGCCGCTCATTCCCATACGTCGAACGAATCCTTGCAAGATATTCGGCACCGGTCTCATCCTCCCGCTGCTCCTTCCATCTTCTTGTCATCTCTGGGAGGCGGCGACCTTGGAGCAGTTCGAGGAGGTGGTGACCTTGGAGTCGCCATATCCACTAACTTGTTTCTCTTCCCTTCAAGTACTCAAACGCTTGTTGGGCTGTTTTCATTACCCATGTCGGCCACTTGTTCACTTGTCGGCCCAACTGGCTGACAGCGAAACTGATGTCAGGCCTTGTTCTGATGGGCAACCACAAAAGTTCGCCCACCACTGTTTGAGCTTGACGTGTGTCCTTGATCGCTGGCTGCTCCTCTTCAGGAAGTTCAGCATCGGGGTTTCGTCAAGGGCACCGGTCTTGGATGGTCCACTTGATGTCGATTCAGCAGATCACCGGTGTAGGACTGCTGTCCCACCTTCAACTTCTTTTGACCCCCATGACACCCAGCCCTTCTGATCCACTTCTTCCGGAGTGGAGCAAGTCAATTCCTCCTTCAGCCTCTTCATGAAGCTATGCTTGGTGTGGGATTCAGCGAGAACCATGAGATCATCCATGTAGACGATGACCAGTACAACTTGTCGATAGCCATCAGGACGCACCTCTTCTCCCGATTCACCCTCACCCTTAGCCTTACACATGATTCTCTACACGTTGCCCTCCGGTGTTTGTTCCGGCTTGGATTCCCTTTGCACCTCCCCCGAGCTCACATCTCCCTGCCACGTGAACCTCTTCATAATTCAATCGCCGTATACCGCCCCCAGTGTGCAGGGCTAGACTGAAACCCATGGAGGGCGTTGTCAACAAGCCACACTTTGTCCAGCTGGGTGATCCTAAAATTGGTCATGATTCTCCGAGGTACGGTTTTTGCGCCGTCTTCCGCTGGCGAGGGCCCAACAGAAAGGCGGTTTTGATGTCTGTTGTGGAGACATCCCACTGTTGATGAGCAGCCTTTCTCACAGCACACCTGATGAGAACCCACTTTCTGCCCCGCTGGCATACAACAGCGATGAAGGTATTGGGTCCGCTTCTGGCGATGCCAGATTGCCACAGACAGCACGACATTTGTATCTCCCCCCAGCTTTGATCACACAAAACAAAGTGTCATGGGACTAGTTCAGCTTCAGGGTCGATTTGGGGTCTTTTGACTCGCCTGATTGCCTTGGCTTCTTCCGTCAAGGATTTGTACTCAGCAAGCATGACTCAATCTCTTTTATCTAAGCGGGCTCGAAGGTCAGCATTGTATGACTCGTAAAATTGAGTGGCCGGAGCATAGGGACACGATCTTCAGGCACTGGATCTTGTTGGCAAATCTTAGCGAGGGAATCCAGCAAAGGTCTGTCGTTGGGATGCCCTGGGACATAATTTGCGCCAAACGCAAATCGCCCACAGGTGCTGATGTTCAGCACCTTCAATCTATTCTGCTCATCTGAATTTAGGCCGATATCTGCCGCACGGGACAGAAAGACTGCCTCAGAATCCAACATGGTTGAGATTTTGGCTTGACCTTAACAGCAACAGGTGAATAAGCTGAATCAGCGCATTGCAGTCCAGAATCAATGCAACAAAAATCCGTGAGATACAGTCATGAAATTGAAGCTGCCTGGCTAGTTGATGCACAGGAATGTAATCAGTAAAAGAAAACATAGCAAAACATTACGCAGAAAAAGAAAATATCATCTTGCACATCGCAGGACGATAACATGGGCATGCTGAACTTGACTTAAATGCTACTTCAGCGCTGTCCTTCCACTCGCGGAGACAGCGGGGACTCCCCCAGGGATCTCGCGCCTCACGCAGGCCAGGAAAGAGTGAGCATCAAAGACAAGCGAAGGAGGAAAGATGCGGGAACACTCAAGCTACGCTACTTCACCCCTGGCAAGCAACAACATTGAACTGACATCCAGAGCGGCTGAACATGCTGTTGCAGCAACTTTTGACTTCCAAAAGAGTTGCTGCTTTAAACCTGCACATGACCGAAGCATACTTTGCACTTCGGAAAAACCTTGTCAACATCTCCGACCCTGTAGTAGGACAGCATCCTGCCACAGCCCGTCTTGTCGCTGTGCTCAACATGCCCATGGTGAACCATTTTAGGTCTATTATGTCTATATGCAAGCATCGTGTCCGAGCAAGGTGAGGGGATCGCTCGTTGGCCTTCATTGTGGACATCGTCAATCAATGCATGACTGAATTCACATTCTTCCTCATCTTCACTATCACTTGAAGCTGAGCTAGACACGGATTCAACATCTGAACTCTGCTCTACAGCCCCTGGCATCCCACGCAGGGCCATCTCTTCATCCTCATTCAGGAAGTCCACCATACCCGATGGGAAGTTGTGCTCCGCTTTGAGCGAAGATAGTCTCAGGTCAGCCTGACGCATGGCTTCGCTTGTTGCAAAAACTGCCGATTCCTGCATCACACTTGCGGCTTCCATCACTCTTTGAAGGCGACGATTCTGGCATACATGAACATTTGGGGATGTGACCTTACAAAAAGCGAATTGTTGGGTTACCACGTGAACAAGGAACATTCTTCGGCGCTGAATTACACCAGGGATTGTTTGAGTAGACCAATGCGTGACATGATCACCGTCATGCGTCAGATCAATCTGGGAGTCTTTAACCCTGCTGCTCCTCGAGACCAAGTTTCCTCAGCCGTTGCAAAGAAAGCCTATTGCCCGGCACTTCCTGGAAGTCACAGGCCTCAATGTGACTGCTCACCGAAGCAATCTTAGGGCATGGGAACCCTTTGGAAAGCAGACATCTGTCATTTCCGAGGACCCCATCGGCTTCTGGTCTTCATAGGGGATGCTAGCAAACTCAGGGACCATCACGAACCCCAATCGTGGGCCCGCGAACAAAGAGTGGGCACAGGCACCAGTCCAGCTTCATGTCGCGCCTTCAAAAATTCTATCAGCCAAGGCTTGCCGAGCAAACCAAAGGTCGGCACGACCATGGGAATGAATACTGTAGCTCGTTCCTTCGAGCGCGCAGTCTTCGTCCGGCTGAGCGCTCCCTCATAGAAACGGCCAACTACTCCAGCATGGCGAATCCTGCTGGCGTCTGAACAGCGTAATCCGCCCATGCAGCAAAGAAGGCATAAGCCCGCTGCCAGCCAACAGACCATTGTCGGAGATGGCATCTCGGCCTCGACCGACTGACCGTCCTACATGGAAGTCCTCCAATAATGCCCAGAAGTTTTCCCAGGCTGGCGAATTTCCAAAGGAAACTCCATGTTCCTGGGTTGTGAATGTCTTGGCTCCGGCCTTCATTAATGTCCACATAATCACTTCAATCCCATTGTATAATGGGAGTCTTCCTCCACTCCTTCGCGCTTTCGCCGGCAAACAGGTGTACCACCACGCCCTTGCCGGTTAGCCGATTCCACACGGCAATCCATGGCTCACTTGCGGATCCTCTACACCTTGACCACACATGTAACTCCAGATTCGTTCCGGAGTTTCCGGGAACCTAGATCCCCACCATTTCTTTGTCTTCTTATTTGGCTCCTCCAGCGTGGATCAGCGCCAGAGCGCCATCCCTTTGGACCACTGGACATCCACACCTCAACAGCACTGGATGTTTCCTAGTGTTGGGTGTTGTGATGGTATGACCCAACTCCACAAGTCCTTGAAGAGGTACTAGTGGTTCTACCGGAAGCTCCGATAGAAGTGTCCCGCTCACAGGATTCTGATAGAGCTGCGTGGCACCGAGAGCCCATTCCACCGTGACCTGCGCCGCGTTCTCAATCTCCTCACTCGTACCCTGTCAAAGGGGATAAGTATAGTCCTGGCCCGAACCTTGTTCAACTTCGAGATCCCCACCTGCTCCGACTTCAACATTGGGCCAGTGAGACACTGCAGGGGTTGGTTCACTTCTCCCACCACCTTAGCAGGTTCTTTCGGCAAGGGGTAATGGTGACTGTGGACTCCTTCATCGGGTTGATCTTGACGCCACATGCGTGAATCGGCACTTGTCCGCATATTGGCACCCCTTGTCTGTCAGCCAATGCATGCAAGCCGTCTTGGTAACTCCGGTTCCTCCCCCTTTTTTCATCCGAAGATCCTTCTGCAGCATCAGGTTTCCTTTGAATTTCCCTTCGGCGGATCACTAGAGCGGTCCGCTCCCTTCATCGGTTTCACTCCCGCCACCCTTGGCCAACGCATCACTCTTTTTGCGACCACCCCGAACCAGATGAAATTCTTCGGATTGAAATGCCCACCGTTTCCATTTTCTGATGGATATGCGGCCATTGGGTCGCGTTGTTCGAAGGTGGCTTCCAATCAACTAACAGCAACAATGACGTCCTTTCCGTTGGGCCTCCTGGTTGGAAAATGGTGTACAACCATTCGTGAACCCTCCCTGATCCACCAGCTGCGGGGTATACCACAGGTGCCCTGCAGGTTGGTAGAGCACAGGTGGTCCAGTTGGTGCAGCCGCCGCCACCAGTTGACTTAATTATTGTACCCCTCCAGGAGATTCGACAGGAGATCTTCCCCACAAGAGCAACGGTCGGTTCGACCATAGCAGCACCTCCGCCATTCAATTTTTCATTTGGGTTTTAGTTCCTCCCGCTCTGTGCTCCACCTCGGTTCTCCACCACCGGTGGGTCCTGAGATGCTTTGTACAGTCGGGCGACTGCCGGCACGAAGGGTGAAACTCAACCCAAATAACAATCGACCATTCCCATTTCCTCGTCCCACTTCAAGTTGAGGAGGTTCTTCGGGTGGCAATGACACTGGTCTTGCGACTTCTTCCACTGCAGCTGGTTTCTGGGACCTTTTTTCACCCGCTCCAGCTTGGACCGCCACAACTGGTTTCTGGGCTTCTTTCTCACCCGCACCAGTCAGTGCCTTGACGCCTTCCCCAACTTCTTTTTCCTTCAATTATCTGCGCGTCGAGTCTGGTGGTTTTGTCCCTTCATGTCCTCCAGAAGCGGAACCAGCATCTCATCAGCCGTCTCAGTGCGTTCTTGTTTTCCATGGGCCCCATGTTGTACATCTTCAGCACGAGCAGCCGCCTGACCTTGATAATCTTGTCGACGACGCTGAGTGAAGTCGCTGCTTGACATGGCTTCAGGGCAGTGTTGGGGTTGGGCTCATAACCCACGGGCTTCACACTACACCAAGTCCCCGCCCAGAGGACCCTACCAAACAGGCAAGGCAGCTGCAGGTGCAACTTTTAGCTCCAAGTTGGGCTCAGCGCTGAGCGAGTCTGTTGAATGGCCCTTGAGCCTTGAGCCAGCACAGTTGGAGGACGTCTCAACAGCGGTGGAAAACTTTACAAAGGGTCTTATGGGGGTTCAGTGGTACTCTGTGCTGGATTCCCAACCGCAGTTTCGAAACACAATCCCCAGCCACAACCCAAACGCAAACTTTGTAACCCAAGTTTTACAGAATTCAATGAATGAAAGATCGAATTCCGACATGTGACGCTTTCGAAACAGAACAGAGATGTCCATCAGAAGAACAGATTCAGGTTTTTTGTGGAAGCTGCGCGAACCACTTCCAGATCGAGTGTGAGGGAGTGGATAATCGATAGCATGGACACCCATGGCGATAAACAAAGCTGCTGTGACGCAAAACATGTCACCAACATTCACCAACTAAGAGTTTAAATATGTTTAAATCTGAGGTTCAAACCTGCAACGCCTTGGTGTCTATCTCTTCTGCTTTGTCTCTGGCCTGTTTAAGCCCAGCTGCATGTAGTTAGCCCACCACCCAGCATGATGTTGCATTTTCTGCATTTTTTTCAGATTCTGTTGTGAATGTGTACAAAGCATTGGCAACGTCCGCAAAGGCCTCGTTCAGAATGAACTGTGTCATCTGCAAAATTTGTGCCTGCGTCTCCTCCCGACGCCAAAGTTTTTGATGCTGAGTACGCTTATCTTATGATTTCAGGTGACTCGGCGACGCAGCGACCATTCATGCAATCAGTTCATCCATGTGTTGCACGTGGCAGTCCTTGGAAGATGCATCCATTTTGGTCCACCCCAGACCAGCTCAAAGAAATGTTTTGGCTTTGTGCAACAGCTTCGGTGGCAGTACCAATGCTGGAAGCCAACCAATTCTTGACAGTCCAAGACTGTGAGCAACCACCCAATCACTGTGACTCACTCCTTCACTTACTTAGCCGCATTAAAAAAGACAAGACGGGAGACAATCGAAGAAAAGCCCACGCAAAGGGGTCGCAGTATCGGACAGCAAGGCAGACGCGCTTTAGGCCCTGACCAATACAACGCAACCACCACCACAACAAACAATTTGACAACAAATTGCCCAAGAACGTTCTTGAAAAGCCATACCTTCCACATACAACAGGTGAGTTTTAGTTGAAATTGATTTCTTTACTGCTAGATTTTGTTTGACAATCATGCTGGAATGCACAGAATTACGACAACAGCGATGCAAACAAATGCACGAACGACAACCTTGAAACCATGCAATCCAGGTCAATACACTAAATCTATATATGTTTCCCAAAAACCTTGCACGTGCAGAAATAATGCAACCAAACACATTGTTTGCACGCGGCTCCACATAAAATGCACAAATGTTTTGCAAACACATGACTAGCAACCAAATCACCATCCGCTCTCCCATTGGTGCTCATTCAAAAAAGCAAAACACGATTTTCTCAGCCGCTTTTTCTTGCACTTGTCACTTGTTTGCAAACACGCTTTCTGTTGCGTTTTTGTGTGTGTGCGCGCTTTCTTTAACGAGCTCTATCCACAGCCATATCTTTCGTGCGTAAGATTCTGCACTATATGGGCTGGGAGTCCGGTTATGTTTTCTTCTGTTTTGTTCTTTAAAAGCTTCTGGGCTGGGAGTCAGGTTCGGCTCGGCTACTAACAAAGCTCCATGCCATGACTCGTGACTGCGCTATCCAAGAAGCTGCGCAGCGCAAGCAGCAACAAATGTAGACGCACTGGAAAATTACTCCGGGGCTCAATGTGGCACTCCGACTTACCTCACAGGAGTTCCGATTTCCAGTTCCCACAGGTTGACGCTGAACGCCCTTTTCACCTCCGCTTTGCGGCCACGGCCCAGCGGTCAAGTGCTCTCAATGAACGAGCTTTCGAAAGCATGACAGTTGAGAGATTTACATGTGCACAAGGAGAACTCCAACTCACTCTTACTAATCTTACTAATCTTACTGATCATTTACACCAGTCTGCAGTCTCTGCAGTCTCACTTCACCCGAAAGCAATCATCTCAACTGGGCTACTTCCTTCAGCCCCTCAGAGAACCACCACCAGTGAGGAACTATCCGGACCTGCAACAGGAGTGTCAAATGGTGTGACTGCATTTCCAAGCCATTTTCTGTCGAAGATCGATTTTGGAGTCTGAGATTGAGAAAAAAATGCATTGACAGAACTATTCAGTTATTCATGAACATCCTGCTGTAATTCACGCCGGCATCTGCTCATGCTGAAGTTTCTTCTGTGCAGCCTGCCTTTCCCGTCAATGCCTCCAGAGCAAGTTTTGTGCAGTAACCAGTATGGAAAGCAGAAGCCGAAGGACTGGTTCCATCATTGATTTGATCGGCCTTCCAATGCATCCCCAACAAGTCCTGCTTTTGATCTTCATAATGGGGTTATATCATTTTTTGTCAAAATGGCTCCTTCAAGAAATGCTGACAAGACTGTAAACCCCTGTGTGCCCAATTTGAAGTTTAATGAGGGTTCCGCACCTCAATGGAACAGCAGCTTTCTAATCGTTGGCTTTGCCTGGAAGCTTAACCAGTACTGCCGCATGCACAATAGTAGGTGGGATCGGTTGTGAGTCAAACCTTTGAAGGCAAGAGCAAGATTCACAAATTGTCGCATATGTATATGGATATTGAGCCACAATATGTGTGTACAACAGAAAAAGCAACCTTCTCTCCTATGGAATCCTTCCCTTTAGCACAAAGTCTTGTGCTGGAGATACCGTGCCTGCTCCATGACCAGCTGCAAACGGGAGTCAATGGTATTGTCAATGGTGATGGTGCCCTTCTGGCAAGCCAAAACCTGTGCTGAAGCGCTTGTTGGACGCGACAGAAGTTGTCCAACGAAAATTTGTGGAGCCAGAGACAACTGCATTCACTCCCGAACTCTCTCACTTACTCAAATCATTCAATGCCATGACCTCAATCAGTTCCTCAATCAGTTAAAATTTAAATAGAAACAACGATGCTGCATGTTCGGCACAAGTGAAAATGCATAGACAAATCCTTTGGAGGTAACAGGGGCATTGCAAAAGAACAAAGAGATCAGTCAAGTACAGTAAGCATCTTGAGAAAGCAGTGTGGGGGCTGCAATGTGATGGTTGCAACTTAGGGATTGCAAAAGTATGCAAAGTGTTCAAATCATGGTTGCAGCAAGTTGCACCCTGGCAAGACTCGAAATAAACTGGTTTGGAATGGCTTGGCTGCTGCGCACAGGTCACTGCATTTTCCACTGAATCACCTAATAGTGACAAAATTCAACGAAAAATCATGAAAAATAATGAACAAGATAGGCGTTATTATGGTGTTCTGATGGTTCGAAGCCTCTGTATGTGTTGGAATACCACATCGCGCGCGCAGAACATGCTGCAAACACAGTGTTCTTGGAGCGCACGGGCAGAGCACAGGATCAACACCACCAGCACCAATAGCCAAGGTTTGTGAGGGCAACCCTTATGGCATCGCTGGTGTGCGCAACTCTACAATTAACACTTTTGCAGCTTGTGCAGAAGTTGTACCATCGTGCAGGTATTAGAAGATTTGCAAAACACAAAGCTACATCCAAGCGCTCAAGCAGCTAAGCACAGCTTCTGCAAGGGCAAACTCTTGCTCCTGGCTCACAAGTTCTAGGTACCCTGGCTACACCACCCAAGCACGAAGGCGTCGAAGCATCGCCATTCGGCGCTGGGGGCAACTGAACTTTCTGGCCGGGCAGTGGCGGGTCACGGGATGACTTCAGATCTCCGAAATGACATGGATTTCGTCTGCTAGACTGCTGGACACCTACACACTCGTGCAAAGTCCCATTCATTGTCTGGTTTTGAGGAATGGCACGCAACTCTGGAGAAAGAATTCTTTATAAAACCACAACATCGCCAAAATCTCACTTCTTTCCAAGTAAGACAGACCCCAACTGTCCAAGGTCCAATGAGCCTGATCCACTGTCACCTTGCAGTTCTTAGATGCACCAGTGGAGTCCTTGATGACCTCTCGAGTAGGTAACAGCAGAGTATTCAATTTCTGCTTTCCAGTTTTTCTGCTTGCTCTCCCTTGCAATTTGATCGTCTGTGGCATGCAGTGACTTGGCATGAAAAATGTCACGCCTTACTGTATTCCTTCACAGCATCACCAATGCATTCTGCCACCAGTGCCTCACCACGAGAAGATCTGAGGACAACATGCAAAATAATCCCTCCTGTGTCTCCAACTTGATCAAACCAAACATCATGGGTATCGTCCCTGAATTTCCATTTCCGCCTCATCGCATTTGCGACATCGAACCTCTACGCTGTCCTGACCAAGGATGCAAGATGATGCAAGCCAAATCTGGTTGTTTTGCCTGCTCACAGATCCCTCAAGTTTGCAGACTGGGAAATTCCTGGTAGCAAAATCATCGTGACAGGCACCTCCAAAAGCATCAGCAAACCCTGCACAATGAGCTGGGTGATGAACTGCTTTTGTTTGGCCTGAAGCAGCAAAAACAGTCCGAACCAGTGAGCAGAGCACTGTTGTCTTAAAAAAACATTTACAGCCAACGTATGCAATGAGATTTTGTGGCAATTCCGCACACATATTCCACATGTATGCAGAATGCAAAACATTGCAGCATTGGTCTGAAGTTTCGTTGATGTTAGCGCCTTGTCCTCCAGCCGCTTGGCCAGCTCTTTCTGTGAGGCTGCATGCAAATGTCCCAACATCTCCTGTGGAGTCAAGTAGTTTCTGTTTTGATTCAACTTGATATTTGGGGCAAACTCGGAACAAATGTGTTTTTAATCATGCAATCAAAGAAATCCAAGTTTCTGAAACAAGGATTCCGTTTGTGTTTTGAACCCAACTGCCCAATATGTGTATTGACGTCAATGTGAAAGAGTCGTCTTCGCAAATTGCAATCTCAGGATTGGACACCAAATGGTCCGAATTACACTCAACATCAAACATCGGAATGATTCTAAGCTCTCAAGAGTTCTGTTGTCAATTATATAGTCATGTTAATCCCACAAATGCACAATGATAAGTTTTTAACCCTATGAGAGAACAAACGCCTTTGGATTCTCTCAACGTGCAGAAAATCACTTGCATCTTGAGTTGTTTTCATGAAATGCGTGGATCCGCTGAAACGCTTATCCTCAAAAATCACCAGTGATTCCCGACAAATTGTCCTGTCGGCTTTTGATTTTTTCAAGTCTCGACCTTTCCGGGATTCCAACGTTTTGCATGTGCAGACTCAAGTGCGAATCAGGTTAGCCGTGCCCTGATACTGGATATATGCAGATTTTGGGTGACAATTTCCAACAGTTCAAGTGTCTATTGCATCATTTCTATGAATTCTTGGAGTAATCTTGACGCGATAGGATCGGCAATGATGTACACTGTAAGTGCCAATCCCAGGACCCATAACATGCCTGTACATGGAATGTAATACTGTCTAGGTTATTGTCACACAAAGCAAACATGAGTTTGACAGTTTGGCAGGCCTGTTGATGGCAGTAGATCTCTCGATGGCTGCCTGACGCACCCACTTGGTCTCGGTTCACAAGTAACGTCATATTGAAACGCAGTTTTGATTGATCTCAATCCAAATTACATGAACTCAATATGACAGATATGAATTGTGGTGATGTTTTGTCCAGCTTACGTTTTCAAATTCAAGTCCCTTTGCCTTTGCCACCGCCTGAAAACGATTTCTGGCCTGGGTCTCAATCTGCTTTGTTTTTTTGGCATAATCCTGGCAGTTGCACTGGCAATACTCTGTGAAATTCCTTTGAACGTGTTGAGACTGAAACACACCAACCAAACGCCGAAGGCCTGCTGAATTTTTTCCTTCATGGAGTTCACAATTTTTAAGCGTTCGATGCTCTCTTCCTCGTGTCCAGGGTATAGATTGCGGATTTGGGGTTTGTTTCGAAACGAATCCCCAGCAAACTTTGTGACCCAAATTTTACAGGATTCAATGCTTGAATTGTCGAGTTCCAACGTGTGACGCTTTCAAAACGGAACGGAAATATCCATCAGCAGAATAAATTTAGGGTTTAGGGATTATTTTGTGGAAGCTGCGTGAACTACTTCCAGATCGAGTGCGAAGGATTAGATGATCAATAGCATGGACACCCGTGGCGCTGGCGATAAACAAAAGTGCTGTGATGTAAACATGTAACCAACTGAGAGTTTAAATCTGAGGTCCAAACTTGCAACGCCTTGGTTTCAATATCTTGGGCTTTGTCCTTGGCCTGTTCAAACCCATTTGGTCCACCATCCAGCATGATATTGAATATTGCATTTCACTGGTAGCACCCACACAGGCCTCGTTCAGAATGAACTGTGTCATCTGCAAAATTTGCGCCTGCGCATCCTCCAAATTGAATGGCAAATCTTGAAATAAATGATTTGGGGTGATCCCCCAATTTTAAGAAACTTCCATATCGTCAAAGACAGTCAGTCCACCCAAATGTCACGGCGACACAATCGGCGACATGTGTCAGTCCTTGGCATCCATTTTGGTCTACCCAAGACCACCCAAAAAAATGGTTGGCTTTGCGCAACAACTTCGATGGCAATAGCAATGCTGGAAACAATCGTAAATTTATCAAAATTATCACAGGCCCAAAAAAATCATTTACGAGCGTAGGTTTTACATAAATCAACCGAATAATGAAATTAACATCAAAAATTAAACTGCAAAATAAAATCCACAGTTTTCCACATCGACGTCCGCAACAACAGACAAATTGACAACAAATACCAAAAACACATTTAACCAGCAGTAGAAAGAAACTGTGACAAAACAACAATGGCAACTCTCGTGATTCCATTGAAAACAGAAACAAAAATATTGTGGAAGTCATGTTGGAAACTGCAAATTTGCTGAGAAATTATGCGCAAACCGGGGTCATTTCCGGCAGAACCTCACCACAGCGAAAAACATGAAACAAATCCAATGCGTTTACACATTATTATATATTTCTTGTCTTAAATACTTGATCCTAAAAACATCAAACCGTTCAGCCTTCAATGCAAGAACTCCCATTGACAACGTTCAACATGCAGCAGCCGCCAGATCACTGTTTTTGACACCGTATCGGGGGAAATCAGGTAAGAGACTTGGATGCCCCTGGTCGAGACTGTACACGGTTTCGTTCCAGCTTGTTGTCACTGAAGTCCTTCTGTTTGGAGTCTGACTGGCTTATGATAAGCGGCTGGATTAGCTCGGTTGCTTTAACCCCCCACCCTGTTGTAGGGTTGGGAGGGCGGGAAAAAGAAAAACTTTGATGTGGAGTGAGTTGAAGTTCTGAGTTCAAGTGAAAGTCATGTACTCCATGTTTCATGTTGATGACATGTCGTGTCTAATTAGTACATGACCTTGTGAGCTCTGTTGCTCCTTGTTTGCCTTCTTTGATGAAGGACTCGAACCCAGAATGTTACATCGAAACATATATGAATTCTGTCTACCCGTTTGTTTCGGACAACATGCAACTCACCGACTCGGTATTCTATATAATACGTGGGATCATGTTCACCACATTTGCATCAAGATTTTTCTCATTTCAAATAATTTGTTTGTTCAAGTTCAGGTTTTTAGGTCGCCTCATGTTAAATCATGAGTCTGTCAAGTTGTATGTCCAAGAAGGTGCTATCCACGTTGTGTAAAATCCCTTCTTGTCCTAACTACTTGATCCTAAAAACATCAAACCGTTCAGCCTTCAATGCAAGAACTCTCATTGACAACATTCAACATGCAGCAGCCGCCAGATCACTGTTTTTGACACCGTATCGGGGGAAATCAGGTAAGAGACTTGGATGTCCCTGGTCGAGACTGTACACGGTTTCGTTCCAGCTTGTTGTCACTGAAGTCCTTCTGTTTGGAGTCTGACTGGCTTATGAAAAGCGGCTGGATTAGCTCGGTTGCTTTAACCCCTTTCTTTATAACCGGGCTGTCTGTCTCTTGCGGCCTTTACAAGCCAGCTGGCAACAAGGGGTTGGCAACTAAATCCTGGAAGGAAATGCGCTGACCATCTGGCTGCTGCGGTTCTTCCTTCGAACCTCGAAGGCTCATCTGCCGGATTGCTCTTACTAGGGGCTCTTTCAATCCACCAAAAGGATGGCAAGTGGACCTCTATTGAGAAGAAGGCTTTTATTAGGTCATCCATAGTGGGGCTGTTGGATCGACCCTTAACTACTCCTCCTCGGGCGGAGTTGTTATCTACAAACAAGAGAACTCTCCGGTTGTGCAACTCATGCTTCCACTGCCACCTCGCTAGCACCATAGTCAGGAGCTCCATTTGGCAAATCAAATGTTCTCCAACAAGGTCCTTCCACAAGACAAGAACCACGAGTCTTGTGCCGCTAAACTCATCCAGTAGGACGGCACCTATGCCTGCAATGTTGTTTTCCCATGAACCATCCGTAAAAATCAGCACGGTCTTCGTGTTGATGCCTAAAGGTATTGTCCGGGGTTGGACACTCTCCAGTAAGATCACGACCTCTTCGCCTCTTCGCACCAATTTTTCAAGTGGGGAGATTTGGAACCTCCTTTGTCCACCAATGAGAATATCTTAAAAAAAAACATATCTAAGTGCACGTCCGGCAAAGTATCCTGTGGCGAAATTCAACAAACCGTGAATCTTTGGGCATCTGGCAAAGCCATTTGGCCTGCCTCTTGGACCTTGCGTACTTTGGAGGATATCTTTTCAATCCGCCCTTCTTTGGTCTGGGACTCTTGCAACCCAGACAGGTATCGCGGCCGCGAATCACTTCGCTGGAAAAGAATCCTAGCAGGACTTGGATAGTCCGATGAGCGTCCAGCAGTCTAGGCCCTTATCTAGAAAAGAAGTGATGTCAATCCAGTTAGCTAGAGACCGTTTGCATTTCCCCAGCATGCAGAATGCCGCCTGACCTTGAGAATCTGCATTTCTCACGAGAGTCTGTACGGTTATCGAGTACAAGAGTGACAAACTTGCCTTTGTCCAGTTGAGCTGTACTGCAGCTGGCTCAAATGCATTTCTCGGGCTTCCGGACGGCAGATTGGTCTGGTTGTCCTCCTTCCTCTAACCATCTTCTTCAATCTTTCTCATACTCCACTCTACGTTCGAGTACACCTTATGTATGCCCTTTTGCCTCCTCTTTCTGTCCATGGTTTACTGCATGCCTCAATGTCTATCCCCCTTATCCCAAGCAAATCGAGCTGAATAACCCAAATTTAGGTAACCTCATTTCTTTCGTGTGCACTCTTGGGAGCAAACCACCAGCGATGGAATGTCGTGCCATTGTAAGAGACCTAATATCTCGGGCAGCACCTGATCAAGAAGGTGATGATCACCGGGCGTACTTGCCCTGCGAGCGTCAAACAAGTTGTGTAAGGAGGACATCGGAGTTCCTGCCGGAAAATCCAAGGATACGTTCCCCATGTAGCTGACCAAATGGTGCTGTCCAAAAAAAAGGAGCAATCTTGGCTCCTTGTTGGCTTTCCTGACGTTCAGGACTGTGTAGAGTTTGCATAGACAGCTATGCGACCGCCGCGCAAGTCGGCTTGGGAACGACACGCGCAGATGAGAAGTGATGGCTGTCTCTCACCCTAATTTCATACCGAAGTACCCAAAACCAAATAAATGGTGCAAACGGCGACCAGGACAGGACTATTATATATCATTCTCTAATCGATCTAGTGGCATATGATTCCATATATTTATCAATCCGTGTACCTACGTCCGTGATTGATGATATCAGCATCCAGAAATTGTTGTCTCGGTACATCAAAGACACCTCAATGTTCACTGATGCTCATGAAGTTCCAATCAATGGTTTGAAAAATGGGATGTTTTGGGAAACTCACTACCTAACTGGTGGAACAATGCTACTACCGAATGGTCGAAAAAAAGTGACTAAAGCAGACTCAAATCATCATAAATCATCCATGTATGGTACGTTTACCCCCTCTCTCCTGCATTTGTTAGACATTTTTTTTGTCCGAGCCCGTTGCCTTTCGGCGAGTCTACGGTCTTGAGTCTTACTCGCGGACCAGCGGGGAATCGAGCCACCACCGGCAGTCTGTCAGCGACACAAGAATGCCGCGATACCAACTGAGCCACGAGGACGACTTCTCCTGCATTTGTTAGACATGCTCCACGTAGCATCCTCCAAGCGTCACATTGGCGACAACAGTAGGTCCGTCTTTGCTACTGCTACACCTCATCTCTCCCGGCGAGGCCAGGGGTCGCGTTTTTGAAGCGTCACAAATGGCTGGCAGGCAACATAGAAATAGTGGATTTTCCCATTAAACATGGTGGATCTTTCCATAGTTCATGGGATTTAATAGGGATTTAATAGGGATTATATATGAATCCAGAGGTTTTGTTCACTGCCATCTGCTTGGTAGCTGCAACATGCTGCAACCCCATCGAAGCTCGTGGGTGTCAGCAACTACGCATGCTAGTGCGTCTGAGTGATGCACTCACAGAAGCAGCAACGCAGGACTGGTTTATGATTGACCTACGAAATGATCAAGATGCTCTCTCTGTCACTGTGGGCGACTTGCTTGCCTTTGGGGTGAAGATAGCAGGCAATGAGCGATTCCGCCCTGGTCACTTAGCCATCAGTGCAAAAATTCGACGCCTCTGACTACCTTGGAACTACCTTGACATTCCGTCTTTGAGACCTGGAAACCGAACTGTTGCCTTCACATCACTGACAGATACAACTAACGTAGTGGCCCGAGGAGAACATAGAAAGGAAGACAATGAAGAAAAAGAGTACTTTGCGATGGCAGCTGACTGTACTGCCAGAATGGATTCACGCTCTAGAGACTCAGAACCCACGGAATACGGAAGATTTCACTACCTGATGCCTCCCATACGAACCATTGAAGGAGATTGCACATCCTGCACCAGTTAGTGTTCCTAACCGCAAAGCAACGGGGGCTAAAAAGCCCCCGGAAGTAGAGATGTGGCGTAGTGAAGAAAATGCCAAGTGCCAAGCTGCTGTTGTACAGAGAAGTCAGCCACAGGAATTTGGACAGGCTTGCCAACCAAGGTGAACATGTCAAAGTCCGATGGGCTGGACAGGGTACAATCAACTTGGGCTGGCACCAGTGCTGAAAATATCAGCTTCACCTGGACCAGCGCTTCCAGGCTCGCCAGAACAAGTCGACTACGGAGGTTCTAAGGACGCCAGCGGAGGTGCCCGCTCACTGCGAGAAGGAACTGCACCCAACCAAGGGCGTTATCCTGGTTTACTGAAATCAATGCAGGATTAGTTATCGTGCTGAGATTAGGACACACCAGTCCCGTCCCAATGTTTGAGTTGATGGATATCAACCGTGATCCTGATGAACTC